CAAACACGCACACTGGGTTTTAATGGAAAACCAGTCGATCTGAGTTGAGTCGTGTTGATCCACGGCAAGTCGATCCGAGTAGGTTCAAAAGGAAAAGGGGCTTTAGGTCGCCCCAGTTAGCAACCTGTCTGAAGACTTCACAATCAAAGATCACACATAGATTTACCTGCAGTTTGGGAACAACTCCACTCCACATCACCACCTGAACTTCCTAAACATCTGTGATCCACACTCAGCCTGCCTGCTCCCAGTTTCTTAAAAACACTTTGACACAATAAAGATCAATACAGTTCAACTTAAAACACGTTGTTGAGTCTGGTTTGTGGGTCCTTCCAGTTCCTGAGGAGGCCTCGATGAATCACCACCTTGTGATGGTGCAGGGGGGTGACATATGTTGACCAGCGCAATTTGGTGGAACGATATGGTCAGGTGCTTTGAGGAGTGGTTAGTGGCGGAAGTTGGAAGCCTTAGTGGTTTTAAAAAGTGTCTGTCTCTTTTTGGTCTGTGATAAATGACAAAACTTCTTGCAAAACTACACAAGTATCACGTAAATACTTTTTTGTTTGTTATTATTATTCTTAGGGTGACATTTTGGGGGAAAAATCTGTCTTTCTTCCAGTTACACTGAAAAAAACACAGACTCATATGTTATATATAGACACAAAAAAGATGTTATTTTAGGTAGTATAGTTTATTTGCATATACATTTTCCCTCTATATAGATTACACAGTCAAACTATGCAATTAAATATGTTGCATATTTGTCAGTTAGACAAAAATGAAACAAAATAGCAAACTCAGTGCTGTATCATGGTTTTTTAAACATCATGTTCATAACATCTCAGCCAAATTGTCTTTCAAGCGCTTATGCATAGCTGCTGATGTCTACCACGCAAAGTGAAAGTGTTACAATACTCGTAAAAACACAAGATGATTTAACAAAGCACATTTTAACCACATTTAAACGTATGACTTAAATCTTGTTAAAAAAAATACACACATCAGCCTCTGGAGTAAATTCTTGTGTACAACAAGTGCACGTCTAACTCCGAGCAACCAGATAAACCATGATGGGGATGAAGCTCACAGAAAGGAGAGTGAGGCCAATCACCACCTTCTGAGGGGCATCTTCAGTCATCGGATCATTCTCATTGGTGCAGTTCTGGAAAAATTTCAAATGGATGTCGATAAAGAAGTCTTGAATATCAGGGTTTGGGAAGAAACAGCTGGTAATATTAGCCAGAAATTCCACGCAGTGTGTTAGGTCACTGTAAGCTCTGCAATAGATGGAGAAAAGTTAATGATGGGGGTGAAACAACTCCTCTGATAATGAAGAATATTTGCTCAAATGTGTTAATGTACTTGTATTTGTTTTTTCATCAGTTAAAGTATGAAACTTGCAATGTTTGAAAGTGTCTTATTGATCCTGCAGTCACAATTTGACTTGAATGCAGCAAAAGTACGTAAAAAAGTAGAAACCTCAACAGAGTCAGATATAAAAACAAAAACAAAACAGCACATAAAATAAGGGTGTAGCCACTCCTACATGTGTGTATTTACGTCCTTAGTTTCCTTCTGTCCCTTGTTGCGATCTCCCTCTATGCTGTGTTTGTCTAGTTCTGGTGGTTCCCTAAAGTTTTAAATTTTTCTGTTGATTTAGTTCCTTTAAAGCTGACGATTTTCTTTCATCATCCAAAAACCTCCCATAACATTTAATCTCTTAGTTTTTATCACAAACATACACCAATAACTTTTAATTTGATACGCTTTTGTGTGGGGGTGGCGGCATATTTCATAAGAAATTATAAAAACATAGATTTTAAGATTATGAGATGAAACTGTTGAGCTGGACCCCCAGGCACTGAAACTGAGCAGCAAATCAACCTTGAGAAAAACTGTTGAGGTTAAACTGCTTCCTGTTTGAAATTAAACAGAGGAGAGAGTGGGCTGAAGGAAGAGACCACTGCTCATATTAACCCTTCGGCAGGAGAGGCACTCGTT